TGTCTGCTTTCATTAATCTAATCTCTCTGTGACGTATTAATTAGTCAGTCTATTGTCTCTTACTCAGTTAGTTAATTTTCGCCAATCAAATCGCCCCGTGACGCATTCATTCATCAATTAATTATTCAAATATTCAATCAATTAATTATTCAAATATTCAATCAATTAATTATTAAAATATTCAATCAATTAATTATTAAAATATTCAATCAATTAATTATTAAAATATTCAATCAATTAATTGTTCAAATATTCAATCAAATAATTAATCAAATCTCCCTGTGACGTATTAATTAGTCAGTTAATTAATGAGCAAGTCGATTAATATTCACTAATGAAGTCTCTCTGTGACGTATAATCTCCTAATACACGGATGATTAAAAGACATTTTCTGCTTTCAGTCATTAATTCTTAATGAAGGAACGAAGTAGATTAGATAGGGATTAAGAGCAATTATGTAGAATGTTGTTAAATAGTGATAGCAGAAGAGAAAAGAAAAGAAAAAAAAGAGGAAAGAAAAAGAAGAAGAAGAAGAAGAGAAATAATTAAAAAAAAAGAACATTTTTTTAAAAGTACGGAAAATGTCAAGTAGCAGAAAAGCAAACAGACAAACATAAAATAAGTAAATAGAATAAAATATATATATAATAATAAAAACAAATAAAGTGAGAAGAAGAAGACAAAAAAGAAAAGAAAACAGGAATAAAAATAGACACGAGGAAAAAGTATGGAAAATATCGAGCACCTGAGAACGCTTACACCACAAAGAAGCTATTTTGAGGACATTTCACAAAGTAATAATTTATATCATGTAAGAAGAAACCTTTTTAACATCTTGGAGTCTTTTGACGTTCGGTAAAGATTTTCTTCAAGGATGACAAAAATACACAGATCAACACACGAAGGAGTTTTTTTTTTATTATATATACGTATATATTAGCGAGACCAGTGGAAATTCCAATGAAAGACAACAACAATGTAAGAGGTACTTTTCATCTCCCTTTTTCATCCTCTTCTTTCTATCTTTCGCCTCCTATCTCCCTTTTTTCCCGTTTCTGTTTCCTTTTCTCCCTTTTCCATTTTGTTTCCCTCTCTCTCTCTGTGTCTCTCTGCCTCTCTCTCTCTCTCTCTCTCTCTCCTTCTGCCTTTCCCTCTCCTTCTCTCCATCTGCTTTTCCCTCTCCCTTTCTCTCCATCTCTCTGTATTTCCCTCTCCCTCTGTCTCTCTCTGTCTCTCTCTCTACCTCCCTTCCCCTCTCCTTCTCTCTCTCTCTCTCTCTCTCTCTCTCTCTCTCTCTCTCTTTCTCTCTCTCTGCCCTTCCCTCTCTCTCTCTCTCTCTCTCTCTCTCTCTCTCTCTCTCTCTCTCTCTCTCTCTCTCTCTCTCTCTCTGCCCTTCCCTCTCTTTCTCCCTCGCTCCCTTTCCCTCTCCCTCTCTCCCTCTGCTTTTCCCTTCCCCTTTCATTAATCCCCACTCACTCTTTATATTTCCTCCTCCCCTCCCACTCCCCCCCTCTTCCTCCTTAAACTCCCCCCCCCCCTCCCTCCTTCCCTCCCTTAACATCTTTCCTCCTTCTCCTCTTCCACTTTTTTTCTCTGAGCTGCTTCTCCCTTTCCCCTCCCTCTCCCCCTCCCCCTCCCTAATGGACATGCCATACAGAGAGACAAAAAGACAGAAACAGAGAAGAAGAAAGAAGGAAAAGAGAGAGAGGGGGAGAACGGAAGAGCGAAAACCTGGATAGAAAGAAAGAGAATCAAAGAAAGAAAAGCGGAGAGAGAGAGAGAGAGAGAGACAGAGAGAGAGACAGAGAGAGACAGAGAGAGAGAGAGAGAGAGAGAGAGAGAGAGAGAGAGAGAGAGAGAGAGACAGAGAGAGACAGACAGAGAGAGAGAGACAGAGAGAGAGACAAAGAGAAAGAGAGAGAGAGAGAGGGGGGGGGGAGAGAGAGAGAGAATCAGAGAGAAAGAAAAACAGTGAGAGAGGGAGAGAGAATCAGAGAGAGAGAGAGAGAGAGAGATCAGGGGAGAGAAGAGAGAGAGAGAAGAGAGAGAGAGAGAGAGAGAGAGAAAGAGAGAGAGAGAGAGAGAGAGAGAGAGAGAGAGAATCAAGGGGGAAGAAAAACAGAGAGAGAGAAAGAATGAGAGAGAGAGAGAGAGAGAGAGAGAGAGAGAGAGAGAGAGAGAGAGAGAGAGAGAGAGAGAGAGAAATCAGAGAGAAAGAGAAACCGCGAGAGAGAGAGAGAGAGAGAGAGAGAGAGAGAGAGAATCAGAGAGAGAGAGAGTTGCCAACCCTTATCAAACAGGATGCTCCAAAAAGAATCTCAGTAAGCGTCTGAAAGATCAAAGAGATTAAAGACGTGATGAGCAGGACAAGAATGAACCAAAAGGCTTATAATGAGCTAGAAAATGGCTCTTTATGGCCCTTAATGACGCTAAGTGTATATCTGCCTGAGGGTGTCGAGGCTGCCACGGAAAAAGGGAATAGAAGGGCGAAATGAAAAAT